TCCTGCTGCGGGTGCTTCAGCACAGTGATCGGTAACAGGGAGGTGGTGTGGGGGGTTGCTGACGGTGACTCTGAGCACGGATCCTGGCATGGACTAAGAGGGGCATCTGCCCAGGTCTCTAATCTTTGCAATGCCGGTTTCTTTAGTATATCTAATAAGCGCAGAGCTGCCTGTGGCTTTGAACTCACAGGACTCCCTTGCCTGCGTGGCTGCATCTAGGAAGGGGGTCAGGCGCATAATTGAAGGGGCTTTCGGGGGGAGCTGGGCTGGGAGATGCTCCTTGTTGGGGGGCTCAGCCCCTCCAAGCTGCGTCACTTGGGTATTGTCTTTGCATGTCCCGGGTGGGATGGGGAGCTGTGCACTGGTGATGCTTTCAGGGTGGGCAAATTAAGGCCTCTGACACTGGCTGCGGGCTGCCCCTTCGACATCTGCTGCCCGCTGTTGCCTCCTGGTAGGATGCTGAAGACCGGTTGCTGGTGCCTGGTGCTCGGGGGAGGGATGAGGAGGAGGGGGGCTGGGGAGGAAGGTGGCTCCCCAAAACACTTCCCAAAAGCCTTCTGCAACCAAAGCCCCGCCAGCTTCGGAGCAAAACCCTGGGGCCGTTGCCTTTCCCTTCTCCAGGGGCTCAGCTTCAAACCAGTGCTTCCAGTTTGGAGCCATGCTGGTCCCCAGCCACCTCAAGAGCAGCATCCCCACTGCGTGTCATGAGTCCAGGACATCACAGCCTGTTGGGACGTCTTCCAGCCACCCCCTGTATGCAAAGCCTGCCGCTCTGTAAAGTGAATAAACTTGTCACTTGAGCTCTCTCCGCCTGCACCGGCCAAGCCATCGTCTAAATTTGGGTGATTATGTTCACCCAGGCCAAGTATCAGGTTCTCTGGATCACATGCACTCCCAGCTGCTATTTAACTCTGACGCCTCGGGGAGACGCAGCACTTTGCTCCCAGCTGTTTGGGTTTTGTATTATTATTTTTATAATAATTTTTTTTGGCACCAAAGATTTTATTTTTTTAAATTTTTAAATTTCTATCCTGCCAAGTTGCTCCCCTCCCCGGCCACTCACCAAGCAGCCCAGCATCTGCTTTGATTGCTAAATCTGATCAGGATGTTTCTGGTTCTTTCAGCCACCACGGAATTAAGGGATTTTTTTGCCAAAGCGCGAAATGGTTCAGTTCGGCTCATCAAGGTCATCATCGAGGATGGTAAGTCCCGTTTTTAAGTGCTTTGATTTATTCCGTGTTGGTTCTCTGTTTTGCCTCTACTCCCTTCCTCTTTGCCGCTGTGGTGCCAGCTCATGTTTTTGGAAACCCAAAGGAAAATCCTGCTGGGGCTCCCTGGCACGTGGCAGCCCAGAGCTGAAATCCAAGCCCAAAATTTTGGTGTGCTGGTAGGCAGCTAATGGAGCCCTGGGGTAGCTTCAGGGGGAAGCAGTGACTTTGCTGGCGGACTGATACTGGTGTCCGGGATCAGTGGTGGACTCTGGGGGGCTGTTGCTGCCATTCCATCGAATTTTATTATGGGTGCCGTGGGACTGTGGTTGGGGACAACGCACAGCACCTTCTTCCTTGGACGTGGCATCCCATGGCAGGCAAGGAGATGCTTTGGGCAGGGGTGGGCAGGGGGGTGCTCCTTGGTGCGGGGCTCAGCATGGGGCCCTGATTGCATCCCACGAGGGATGCTACACTCTGAAACCCATCCTGTCCCAGCCCCTGCTCCTGTGCACGGGGCTGCCCCTAGCCCAGTTTGCAGGCTGGCACCGACCTGCCCACGTTTGCCCCGTGGAAAGGTGCCTTTGGGTGGCCTCTACATCTATCACCCAAGCAAGCGGAGCAAAGCACTGATTTAGCATCCCAGCAGGGAGCCTCTGTGGTATAGGTTTTCCATCGCCTCGGCCTCATACAATTGCATATGAATGACTTGTTTCTCACAGCAGCAGGGATGTTAACGCCCTGCCAAGCTGCCGTCACCACCTCCCTTGGGTGAGCCACCAGGACCATGCTTGCAAACGCTAAGGTGGACATGGTCGTAAGGAGCCTGTGGCTGTACAGACCCCGTGCTGGCCTTTGGAGGGGCTGCGAAGCCCCGTTTGGAAGAGCAGTGTGACTTGAAATACATGGGACGCATAGCAGGACCACCGCAAGTTTCGGTGGTGTTGGCTTTGTCTTCGGCAAGGTCCCCGTGTGTTGGGGTGTGACATCTGTGTTGTTTCTTCGGAGCATCTTTGGCAATGATATTGCAGTCTTGGCTCCTTTTGCTTTTAAAAAGTAGGAATCAGGTTTGCGTTAGGATAAGTCATGGATGCCCCTAAGCCTGGACTTAGGGTGCTATGGCTTTGGGTTGCGGCCAGTGACACCAGCAAGGGAGACTTTTTACCATCAATGGAAGCCACGTCCCACCATCTCCGCTCAGGCTGAATGGGATATATTTATTTATCTGTCCGATGTGTCGGCGGCAGCACCTGCTTTATGGACCAGCATCGTTCGGCAGTACTTTGTGCTTCCCAGTCTGGCTCCCCCACCTTGCCAGCTCCTTTCCCCTGGCCTGGACCAGCCATGGGCAGTTCTGGAGGAGCTTGAGTGTCTGCAGAAGCCTCTGAGATGCAGCAGAGCCTGAGGCTCCCATGGGGAGGCAGGTGGAAGGAGGAGAGCCAGGAGCATCTCTGTGCTGAAGGGCTTGGTCTGCTGGGGACAAGGTGGTGGTGGTCCCACCAGCCTGGCTCAGGGACCTCCTGTCTGCCCTCCCATGTGACTTGGGACAAGGTGCTCGGTCCCTCTGTGCCACCACTCTTTTCTGTAACACAGACAGCATCAGCCTGCTGCTATCCACCAGTGAAGAACCTTCAGGCAGTAATGAGCGGCCAGGCAGATGTCACAGCTGGACAGACACTCAAGCATACTGACCCTGGAAGGGATGTGTCCTGAGCCAGCTGGGGAAGACATGCCAGCTGCCCTGCCTGCACAGGGGACGTGGAAGAGGAGCCTCCAGCCCTGCTCGATGGTTTGCAGAGGACCTTCTGCCCTATGGGGCATTAGTCTTGGGGCATGTTGGAGCAGGCAATGGTGGGTGGAAGGAGAGGAGGATGGTGCAAGGAGCCTAATGGCAGATGCTCTGTGTCCGGGCATCCCCAGGACAGCAGCTATGGCTGAGCAACCCTTTGGGAGCTCTTTGCGCTGATGTTGCCTGTGGGGGCCTGCTGGGAGAAGCTGAGGTTGGATGGAGGAGTTGGGGGGAAGCAGGTTGCTCACCAAGGCTCGGCAATGGTTTCCTGGCATGAGAGCAGCTTGTGGTCCAGTGTGGTTTTAGATCATGCTCTACTCCTTGCTGTCAGTAGGTTTCTGGACCAGGTTGGCTTTTGTGGACTTCCCTGTTGGGGGTGTTTCTTTGTGCGTAGGTGATGTTGTGCATTGGGCTCTGCAGGCTCCTGGCTCCTGTGCTGTCCCACTGCGGCGCCTGCCAGAGCTGCAGGCAGGGCGGCCTTGTACGGGCATTTTGGAGCAAGGCAGCCTGCCTGTGGCTCAGTGATGGGGTCACCTCGAGGGCCAGAAACGCTCCCAGCTGTGCTTTTTCCAGCAGCAGCACCCTGCAGAAATGGAGCCTGAAATAGCCGACGCTGACAATGATGCTTTGCTGAAGTGTGGCTGCTCTGGGTTTCCCTTTTCTGATGCTTCCTGGGGACGAAAATTTGGCTCTGAATGGGTTGAGCTGAACTGCAAAGAGCCCGATGTGAGGTAGGGGAATAAGTGGCTTCTCCAGCCCAGGGAAAAGCTGGAGGCTGCCAGCTTACGGCGGCATGGCTGGGGTCTGGCTTGGGTGCAGCCCGGGAACAGCCTGGAGTGACTCAGCACCGATTGCCTCGTGCAGGAGGTGTCAGGATGTTTGGCAGATGGGGAGACACCCACGAGCTGCCAGTGGGTTTGGCCGGGTGAGATTCCTTGCAGTCTCTTGGGGATCCCAGGTCTTTACGATGCACAAATCCATGTTTATGTTAGGGGTACATTGGCGTTTTTATGCTTCTCTTTCTCAAAACAGGTAGTTTTGCTGAAGGTAAAGTATTTTCAGCACCTTTTTCTCTGCTGTCCTTGTTACTGTACTGGTAGCACGTCCCCCTCGTATGCAAATAATTATGGGTTCAGCACGCGATGGCAGATGCTGTGGTGGGGCAGCGTTGGGCAGGGAAGGGCTACGCTGCTATCGGTGGGGGATGCCCTGCTCGGATGGAAAGGGGGAGTGAGAGTAATTCATCCCAAACCCTTTATTCCCTAGCTGTTTTCCTTAAAAGGTTTCCTGCCATGGGATTTGGAGCTGCTCAGCTGGATGGGTTGAGAGGGCTGTGCCCCAGCCAAGGGGCTCCCTGGCTCCCAGTGAGCAGCGGGGCCATGGACAGGGGTCCAGGCAGGGCATGTGCCAAGCTGAGCATCCCCTCGAGTGCCAACTGTCCAAGGCCCCAATTTGTTTTGTTTTGGCACCTCTGGATTTTCCTACATCTTGTTCTGAGTCCCGACATCTCCCCTGAGACCTTTCTGCATCTAAAAGTGGAATAAAAATACAAGCTGTTTTCCAGCAACCTATGGTGATAGTGTCCAGCACTGTCGCTTTTTCATCCAGCCATCCCAAAGCTTGGCTTGACCCTCCCAGGGGAGGGGGTTCATGTTCACAGGATGCCTGCACCAGCATTTAAATCCCAGCCAAGCGCTGCCCAGCTTGTGGGGCTCCCAGCCCCACCACCACTTGTGTAGCAGCTGAAAAAAAATACCCTCCAGATACTTGAGACGCTACCACGTGCATGAAATATGTTGGTCGCTTCCAGAGGCTGGGCTCTCCTGGCAGCATGGTTTTCCCCCCCCAGACTGGGGTCTCTGGGACAGCTCTGGTCCCCGCAGACATGGGCTTTGGGTATCAGCTCTGATTTTGACCCCTCTGAGGTTATGGGGAATCCGATGAGAGCAGCTTTGGCTCATCATCTTGGCAGAAGGCGGCTACAGATGATCACCAGAGAGGAGACCTCGACGGTGAGGAGCATGGGAGGGGAGGAGATGGCTGACAGGAGGCAGTGGGATGCTGGCAGAAAACCAGCCCCTCCACAGCAGCCACAGCCCCGATGGCATCGCCTGGGGGTCACCCCTGGGGGTGTACACTCCTGCATGTGGCTTGAGGTCATCATTTGTTTTTCTGCAGGACGGCATCGTTGTCGGTGCTGGAGCTGCGGCGAGCCCTTAGACGAGCCACCACGTGGTCCTGCAAGGTGAGCCTTGCCTTCATCTAACAGCACCTTTTCTGTCTTCTCCTTCCAGAACAGCTTGTGCTGGGAGCCCACAAAGAGCTCTCCCGGCACTGGGACGCCGACTACGATGCCTTTGTGCTGCCTTTGCTGGACGAGCAGCAGCCGTGCTATGTGCTGTACCGCCTGGACAGCCAGAATGCCCAGGGCTACGAGTGGCTCTTCATCTCCTGGTCCCCTGACAGCTCCCCGGTGAGCACCGCGCCAGACTGTGACAGCCCAGCGTGGGGACACAGATGTGCTCTGGGAGGTGGAGGGTGGAGGAGATGCTGGCCAAGTTGACTTTGCGCTGGGGCCGAGTAGGAGTGTTCACACCCTTCATCACCAGGCCTAGGTTAAGAAGAAGTGGAGACTACTTTGGGGATGGGGGAGTTTTTTTAAGACACAGTAAGATACATTGGGACTGTGTCTCTGTCCTCTTTGCAGCAATGCGTGAGGAGGTGAGGGACGGGGATGTAGAGGGGGGAGCGGTATGGACCACGGGGCTGGGATGGAGGTGTCCCACCGTGGCCAAAAGCATCACTTGGAAGAGCTGGTGCTGGCACCGACTCCCCTGGCCATGTGGCCAGCCTGGGCCTGCTCTGCTCGAGGGCTGACACGGAGCGGCTGGCCCACCTCTGGGCCCGGCTCCAAAATCAGTCTTAAAAAGGGCCTGGCAGGCTGGTTCCCTCCAAGCCACGTGTGGCCAGGCCGGCATTGCCACCTGCTGGGCTGGCTTGTGGGGTCAGAGGCGGCACTGGAGAGCGGGCGCAAAAGGGCTGGTTGGATGGGATGGTAGTCTAGAGGATTTCAGCGGTACGGCTTGTATATATATATGTATATATATATGTATATATATACCTGGCGGGTCGCTGCAGGTTCGCACCCCGGCGCGCGCGCCGAGAGTGTCAACAACTGCCATGTTAATACATGTACTTGTCATATATATACACAGTTGTTATAACAAATATATTTTATTATTATATATTATTTTATATATTATAACATGCATATATAAAAAAGACCCTCTGCAGTTTGTTGAGATATATCTAACAAATATATATTATTATATATACACACATATATACAATTATAACAAAATAATGTAATATATATCATATATGTAATTTTATATGTGTGTACATGTACATGCGTGTATGTACATGTATATGTGTGTGTATATATATAATAATAACGGATATTTTTTGTCTATATCTCTCAACAAACTGTGGAGGGTCTTACAGCAAAAAAACAGTGCGCCAAGGAGCACTTGCCAAAGCTTTTCCCTGTGTTTTGCAGAAGAATGATGCAAAAGAAGTGCCAAAAGGCAAAAGTTGCTTTTAGGTGACTCTGGTGGTATTTGCACCTCCTCTTACCCAGGTGTAGGCGAGAAATGATGTGCTGGAGCTCAGGGTTGGGAAAGCAAAGCACAGAATAAACCAGTGGATTGCGGGCAGCGATTGGCAAGGCTGCACCATGCGCCGGCAGTCCTGGGAATAGCGCTGATGGGTTTTCCTGGCTGCTCCCTACCCGGGGATGCTGTGGTTGGAAGTCAGCCTGGATAGAAATTAGGTGGTTGCTCCCAGGGGTGGCTGAGGTTTGCGGAGCCAGCGGTGGGACACTGGCCGCAAACATCGGGCACCTCTTGTGCGGGGGTGCTGCTCTCCCGTCCCGCCATAAAGGCTCCCCCTCTGACCGTGCTTGCCGCCTCCCTCCCCGCACAGGTCCGGCTGAAGATGCTGTACGCTGCCACCAGAGCAACGGTGAAGAAGGAGTTTGGCGGGGGGCATATAAAGGACGAGATGTTTGGAACAGTGAAGGTACGGTGGCGGTTCCTGGGCAGCCTTTTGGGTTCAACCCTGAGCTTCGGGAGCCTGCCCCAGGTTTGGTGCCAAAGCCAGGTGGGACATGGGACACTGGCGTTTGGTGGCAGGACAGCACGGAGGTTTGTCCCTGTGCTGCTTTAGTCTCCTGGGTGGCCGCTGCCGCTTTCTCCTGCCCGCATGGCTGCGGTCAGTCTGTGATGGGACCGTGAAAGAGGTGGGAGGAAGGCTCCGATGAGGTCCGGAGCTTTACTGTGAGTGGGAAAAGAAGCTCCAGGCGGTGGCAGTGTCACTCCAGCAGTGAGAGCTGCTGCCGCGCAGTGCAGCGCTTGGCGGGAGGTTTCACCTTCTCTTCCACCGGCTTTTTGCAGGGGGAGCTGCACAGCAAGGGCCTCCCGGGCATCAGCTCCCCTCTGGGGCTTCTGGTGCTGATGGGAGCTGGGGAGCATCCCCACTGCTGCCCTCCTGCTCCAGTGCCCCTCTCTGCTGCTCTCAGGCCACAATCTCTGTCCTTCCATCTCGCTTTCATGCTCATGAGCTCTGTTAATCAGCCGGAGGAGCCACGCTGCTACAGCCACGAGTGTCCAGGGAGGGGCAGGGTGGTCTGAACAGGCACAGGCAGTCGCAGGCACTGTTGAAAATTGAGCGTGGGATTTGCACAGAGGCATCCGAGAGCACTGCTCGGGTTGGTTCTCCTGGTAGGGAGAGAGCCTGAGACCCGCTGGGTTGCTCAAACGCAGCCTCGAGGCTGGGGGTGCATCCAGCCCTGCAATGATAACCACCCCCTGACGCGTCCCCCTGTCCCTGTCACTCTGTCTGCAGGAGGACGTGTCCCTGAGCGGTTACCAAAAGCACATGTCCTCCTGTTCTGCCCCGGCCCCGCTGACCGCAGCCGAGCAGGAGCTCCAGCAGATCCGCATCAATGAGGTGGGTGTCTGCCGGCCAGGGGAGAAGGAGCACAGGGATGCAGAATGCAGGGATGTGTTTGCTGCTGGAGGTGTGGGAGTGAGCATCCAGCTACAAGGGATGGCTCATTTTTACTGCGCGCTCTCGTACCTCTGCAGTTTAACCTGTTCCTGCCTTTGCCGAGCATCCTCACGGTCAAATTGGTGGAGGAATTTACAGACTACTTTCTTTTTCCCTTGCTAGGACATGCGCTCAGGGCTCTGTTTCACTCACTGCAATTGGCAGTCAGAAGACAGTTTGAGGCTGAAAGCAGGCAGCAGTCTCTAACCTCTAGGTATTGGGGCAAAAGCCAGAGCTGAGTCTGAATTCACGGGGGCGGCAGGAAGAATTCAGGCTTATCTTTGGGCTGCAGCAGCGTCCTTTCCCATACTCTTCCTCTATGGCTATAAATATGAGGGATGCTGTCCCAAGAAATAGAGGTCTTAGCCTAAATTTGGGGGCTTCCGTGCTGGAAAAAGATGTGGAAGTAGCACAGGGTAGGGTTGGAGGCAGGCAAGGCTGTAACGCCATCGTCTCTCCACCAGCATCTCGCGGCACTCATGCCAACCTCCATGGTGCTGTGAAACACTGAGGCAGGAAGGGGATCAGCTCGCCGGGTGGGAAGACCACCTGGAAGCAGTATTTTTTTGGGGTGGGGGGATTTCACTGGGATGCTGTGGAAAGCCTTCCTCTCTAGAGGAGTATCCCTCTCTCTTCTGCCTGTGCTGGGGCTGCGGGGCTCACGGATGGATCAGGACATGCCAGTCAGCCTGACGGCATTAATTAATGGCAAAGACGAGGCAGGAGGTTTCCACCTGCCAGAGCAGGTCTGGGGGTGGCGGAGTTGAGGGGTGTTTGGGAGATGCCACCAAGGGGTGGTCTCCACTGTGTTGGTCTCGGCGTGGTTATCCCAGCTCCCAGCCTGGAGGAGCTGAGCAGCATTTGTGCAGGAGGATCCAAGCTGATGCCCACACTTGGAGAAGAGAGAGATGGATGCTCATGGTGGCTCTGCAGGTTGTTTGGCACCTTTGGGTGTCTGTGCTGTCACTTTGGCTGGCCAGTGCTGCAAGATTAAGTAATTTTGTTGGGTTTTTTTCGGGCTTTGTGTTGCAGGGTAAAGTGCCCGGGTAAGTGGTGCTCATGGTGCTTGTTTTCCAGTTGATCACTGTGCTCTGCTTCTCACCCTCGCCTTTGTGAGACACGGCACCTGGGTGAAGGTGGTGCTGCTGTTTGGTTTGGTTGGGGGCTATTTTAAAGGTATGCTGTCCCCTGTGTCAGCCCGGGCCATGGGGAGCAGTCACTAGCGTTTAGAAAGAGAGGAAAATTGATGTATTTTTGCCTGTGGATTTAAAGGTGGGAAGCGGGCAAGCGCTGGGTGGGCTGAAGGGTCTCCATGTTGGTGTGGGGGCTGCGCCCGGCCGGACCCAGGCACAGAGCAGGAGGTGGCGGGAGCTATGGCTTAGGTGCTTGGTGCCATGCTCACCTCCTCAGGGCGGGGAAAACTCATGACTCTACAGTAAGTGCAGCTTTAAGCAAGTTTCTGGAGCCGCGTGAAGCAGAGGGCTTTCACTGAGAGGAGCTCTATGGGAGCAGCTCTCAACCTGTAGCAGCACCCTGCTCAGTACAGCAATGCCTCCAGCCTTGCACGTTGCCTGCAGGCTTACAGGGTCCTTGCACGTGCGTGCACAGGCTGTGGAGTCCTTGCACGCGTGTGCACGTTGCGGTTTCATTTGGGGGAGCAGATCCAGTGAATGGGAGCGAGCAGCCAGGGCTGGCAGCAACCTGGGAAGCAGCCCCTGGGCACAGCCCTGACCTCAGCACTTCTGCATATCTGCCCGTGCCCCCGCTAGCGGTCCCTGGGTTCAACCAATCCGTTAGGATTTTGGAAGTGACACAAGGGACATTGTTTCTTTGAAAACCACCAGCTCACAAGTGCTTTGCTGTGCCCCCTCGCCTGGAGCTGCTGCTGGTGCTGCAGCTCTCCTCCAGCGCTGTTGAGGTACGACCTCCCAGATGCCAACCAGGTTTGCAGCCTTCACCCCGAAGGTGGCGGCATTTCCTCGACCGCCGGATGAGTGCGGAGAAGGGGTGGGAGGGGAAAGGCAGCGGCAAAGCAGGAGGCGAGAGGTGATGGCTGCATAGCAGTGGCTTCAGGGCTGGCACAACGGCCTTTTACACTGAGATAGGAAGGACTCGGGTTTGCACGTCCCCCGGCAGGCTGCCCATCCTTTGGTAAAGCAAGTTTTAGGCTGCATGAGCCAGGCTTCCCCTGTGGTTTGAGGATTGCATGGACAGAGGTGATGTTGTGAGCTACTCCCCTTCTTGATAGATGGGTGGGAGCTCGCAAAAATTTGCCATTTGCTTTATATATACATACTTCTTAAATAGCTGGAAAATGCATCGCCAGCTTTACTGAGCTGGAAGTTGTCAGCAGACCGTGGGCTAAGAAATAGCTTTGAATTTGGGATTGAGCTACCTTAACACCCACGAGTGGGAAGTCTTTCTAGAAGCATCGCAGGCTCAGAAATGCAGGCGTATTGCATCGTGGGGCCGCGGGGGAGAGGAAGGCAGCTTCGGAGCTGGGGGATGAGGCAGAAGAATTAAGAGGAACTAAAGGTCTCTGTGCCGTTGCAGCATGTAAGGGGGTGCCGTCCCTTGCTGCCGCACAGTGTGTTGGTGGGAGGGTAGAGCGGAGGCTTTGCCAGAACCCCCCATCAAATGCTTCGCCATAAGACAAAGAAATGCTTGTTAGCCAAAGTCAGCACTGTGCCAGCAATAAGGAAAGGGGGGGGGGGGGAAAAACCTAAAATAAAGAAAAAGAGATAAAATAACCTCCCAGCCAAGCCTGCTGTCAGCAGGGCTGGGGGGATGGGATGCGGCACATGCTCGGCCGTCCCATGCACGGCTCCCGGGCTGTGCCCTGGGGGGTGTTTCAGTGAGACAGTTTTTAATGTTTTTGAAAAGGGAAGGAGTAGAAAATACAGAGGTATATGGGGGAGTTGATGTTGCTAAGACAACTTTCCACCTCTTGGGATTTTTGGACTTCAGCATGCTTTGTGTCACAGCTTTAGCTCTCTCTGGTCCCGCTATAACCCTCCCAGCCTCCTTGCATTTATGGGAGAGAAAGATGAGGATCTGGAGGTGTTGGCAGTGGTAGTGTCCTCACACCACACCTCTCCACAGGGTAGGACCAGGTGAGCTTCTGTGCCTCCTCAGAACCCCTGTGCACTTGCCCTCGGGCCCTTGCTGGTGCCACGGCACCCCGGGGGATGGTAGGACAGCAAAGCTTGGAGGTCAGCCAGACCTCTTGCCCATCCAGCACTGGACGACCCTTGAGTAATTGTTCCCCTAGAGCTGCACGTTCACACCCTATTCATCCTCCAGGATGCTTGGCATGTTTAGAGGCTTGGGCATTTTTTTTCCTCCAAACCTTTAGTATCCACTGTTTCCTGGGGGATAGACCAAAACCTGTTGCTGCAGCTGCTGGAACTCCTCCAGATCCTGGGTTGGGGCCACCCTGGCTGGGGAGCTGGCAGGAGATGGGGCAGGGATGGGCTCTGTGCGGGGACATCGGCAGAGACGTGGCGCGTGCGGCTGCCAGCGCTTGGGGCCGGGGCTCTCCCTCCCGATCCTCCCCAGCGCTGATGTCTCCCGTGTTGTTTTTTGCTGCTCTCCTTGCCCATGCTGCCAGGACCTGCATTCCCTGGCCTCCAGCAGACAGATGGTACGCCTCCATCCTCCCAGCATGTCCCTGTGTCCCCCTTCCCTTCTTTTTTCACACGAGACCCTCCCCCCCCTTCTGTCACCGTGCGGGGTGCTGTTGACAGTGTGTCTCCTCTCCCCATGCTCGCAGGATTCCTGTTCCCAGGACTCGAGCACCGAGATGGTAGGCTGCTCTGCCCGCTTGATGCCCGGTTTTCATTCTCCTGGTGGTGTTTTTCTGCATGCTCTGCTCTGGGCACCCCGGGTCCATCACCTCCCCGGGGTGTGGGTACTGTGCGGGGCTGCTGTAACGAAGGGCAGCCTTGTAACGAGATCTGCTTTGGCACTGCCGAGCTGTTTTTTGACATGTGAGCTTAAACTCCTGTGTTTCTCTTGGCATGCCTTGATTTTTCTTCTTTTTCTCTATCAGGGGAGGGAAAAGAATAATAAAAAAAAAGAAGCTGGATTGTCTTTATCCAAAATCCCCCAAACCAATCCCAAAGGAAAGGGACCCACGCTCGCTGCAGAGCACCTGGGTTAGCGTTGCCAGGCTCTATCTGGGGGTCCGGGGAGCGGGGTGGGTCTGGAGGTGGGACGGGCTCCTCCGCCATCGGGGTGACGCCGTCTCCCTGTATTCTGTGGCAGATGGTGGGGGGCTGTTGCTGCTGCCCATCGCTGGTAGAGTACCCCGGTCCCAAGGAGGTATGCCGTGCCTGCCGCGTCCTGCCCCCCCTTCTCCGCTGCCAGCTCATGGCACCCTCCGGTCCCAGTCAGGGACACCCCTGTTGTGGATCTGCTCGGGATGGAGGCACCCAGGGTGATGTGATGTCTCCACAACCGCTATTCCCTCTTTGAAGTGGGGTTCAGTCTCCTGGAGTAGGGGGTTTGCTTGGGGTATGGGCGGCAGCCTCTGCCTTGCAGGAGCTGCAGGGAAAACAGCGTCTGGGATCTTTACGAGGTGTGGATCTTCAGTTCCCCAGCTCCAGCATTGGAGGGGCTGCCTGTCTGCTGCAGTTAAACCCACTGAGGAGGGGCTTGCCCTCCCCACTGACGGGGAACAGCTGAACGCTGTGATTTCAGGGCTCCCATCACCCACATGTTGTGGTGGGAGATGATTGGAGGTGGACACATGCCAGCGTTTGTCACAGCATCCCTGCCATGGTCTCTCTGGGAAACATCGGTTTTGAGATGGTCTTTGCTGGGAGTGAAGGGAGGGGGCGCAGGACTGGGGCCGGGTGATTTCCTGGTGCGGCAGTACGGTGACAAGCATCGCCATCCTGAGCCTGGCTGACTTCTCAGTGATTTAATGCTGTGGTCCCATGAGCCAGGTGTCAGGTGGCTCCGTGGATGAGAAGCCTTTTGCCGCCACACTGGCCAGTTTTCCTTTCTCTCCCTTCCCCACCCTTTGCCAATCTTTTCCCTGACGCTCGGGCTGGTCTCCATCCCCAGGTGAAGACAGAGATCAGTGTGGAGAGCAAGCACCAGACCCTGCAGGGCCTGGCCTTCCCCTTGCAGTTGGATGCTCAGCAAGCCATCCAGGCACTCAAGCAGAAGAAAATCAACTACATCCAGCTGGTAGGTCCCTCGGGTGGGTCCCCCGCTCCCCCTGCCTCCTGCTGCCACCTCTCACTCCTGTCTGCTCCCCCATCCCCTCTGTCCATCAGAAGCTGGATCTGGAGCGGGAGACAATTGACCTGGTGCACACGAGCCCCACGGAGATCGCCGACCTGCCCAAGAGGATCCCCCATGACTCGGCTCGCTACCACTTCTTCCTGTACAAGCACTCGCATGAGGGAGACTATCTGGAGTCTGTCGGTGAGTGCCCTGGTCCTGGGGATGGCTGGTTAGAGCCCATGCTGGTCCCCACTCTCCCTGGACCATCGCTCACGTGGGAAGCAAGTGGGGATGGGGCTGAGGATAGGGATGGTGCGGCAGGGGACCTTGAGTCGCTTCCCACTTGCTGTCCTCCTGTGATGGGTGCTGGCAAGCCCTTTGGTGCTGAAAGAAGCCGCCACACGTGGTGCAGGGCTCTCTGGGTGCTCCCACAGAGGATTTGTGTGGGCAGTTTGGTGGCCATTGCGTTGCAGGCATACCAGGAGAGATTTGGGGAGGGGTGACGGGTGGGGTGGCTCACCTTCTGTCACTGAGTAAACTGGGACTTTCAGGGCTGGAAAAGCTATGACTAGGGTGGGATGTGGCTGCCTGGTGCTCCCTGGCCATGAGCCCAGGCAGTGCTGCAAGCCCTGCTCTCTTTTCGCAGTCTTTATCTACTCCATGCCTGGGTACAAATGCAGCATCAAGGAGCGCATGCTCTACTCCAGCTGCAAGAGCCGGTTGCTGGACACTGTGGAGCAGGAGTTTTGCCTGGAGATAGCCAAGAAGGTAAGTGCAACCCATGTGGAGGTGATGGAGCAGAGACCCATGCCAAGCATCTGCAAGGGACTGTGCTGCAGCCTCGGTCCAGCCCCGCCGGTGGGCTCAGGGGGGAGTGGGGTGCCCCAAACATGGGTGTCAAGACCCTGGGGAGCTGCTAACCCCTGCTTGCTGCTCCTGGACGCAGATCGAGATTGATGATGGAGCTGAGCTGACAGCGGAGTTCCTCTATGAGGAGGTACACCCCAAGCAGCATGCCTTCAAGCAGGCCTTCGCCAAGCCCAAGGGGCCCGTGGGCAAACGGGGACAGAAGCGGCTGATCAAGGGGCCGGGTGAGAACGGCGAGGACAGTTAGATCCCGCAGGACCGGGCGGTGAACGGACAGCATCCCTGCGGCGCTTCCTGGCTTCCTCTCTGCTGACCTGGGGATCTTTCCCTCCATCTCAGCCTATTTTTCCCCCCCCCTTCTTTTTCCTATTTCATTCCTTTTTTTTAAACATCAGGATGGCTTGTTGCACCTGGGGGCAGAGCAATGGGGAGGGTTCGGGGTTGTCGGTGTTTCTTTTCCCTGCATCCTTGTGCAAGCCCTGGAGCTGCCAGAGGAGGATGGGAGTGGCAGGGTCGTATCTCCCAGCCTTGCTCCTGTCCCCCCCAGGGTTACAGCCGCTGCTCTCGGTGTCCCCTGGGTGACTGAAGGACGTACTTGCCTGCAAGCTGCTCTATGCAAAGGGAAGGGGATGGGGTTGGGGATTCCTGTTTGAAAAGAGAAAATGCTTCTTTCCCTGCTCCCCCAGCCCCCAAATTTTGCTCCCTTGTCCCGCTCCCGGTGTGCACGGCCCCTCTGCCCCAGGCCTGGAGCGATCCTGCACCCCCTCAGGGTGCGGGCAGGACCCCTCCCCACAGGGTGGGCTTTGCTGGCAGGAGTTTGTCCCTGAGGGGAGCCAGCCAGTGGGAGGTGGAAGGTCCCCCCCAGTCCTGAGCTCATCCTGGCCCTGGAGAGAGGTCCCTCTGCCTTTGGGTGATGTTTGCATCCCCTTTTTGAATCCCGCCAATATGGCCTTTCTTTCCCCTCGGAGGGAGCTGTTACAGCCCTGACTTGGACCTGTTGCTGTTTAGGATGGGAGCTGGGGGGGCCTTGAGCTGTGGTCCCCCCTCCACATGCCCCGGCCCCCACCGTCACCCCACTGGTTTGTTGCCGGCTCTGGTCTGGGGCAGCCCCATGTCTTAAAAATCACATGGGCTACCCCAAATCTTCATGCGGGGAAGTGTGACAGCCCCTGTGTGCCCCCCTCCCAGTGACGTCCCCAGCCACCAAGGGCGGTCACCAGCTCCAGGGGCTGAGCTTGGTGCTGTGGATTAGGCTTTACTGGGGGGCTGCAGGGGGGAAGAGCACCTTGCTGCTGGGTACCAGTGAGGGCTCAAAAACTACCCGCCTCCCCGGGAGGATGGAAACAGGGTTGGTGAAACCTGCCCTCTGCTTTCCTGCTGCCCCGGCAGCTGTGCCGATGTTGCCTTGGCCTCGGCAGAGTGGGAGTGGGCAGTGGGGGGGGTTGAAGCTGGGGGGAGCAGAGCACACTGTACTGAACGCTGTATTTTCTAAAGAATAAAGTATTTTTAAAACAGTCTGATGCTCTTTGAAGGTCCCCTGGGTTCCCCAGGTTTGGGCATTTAGTAGCTGCGGGTTCTGGAACTGCAAAGCAAATTGCTCGGACGTTGCTAGCCGGGAGCCAGCAACCATCACAGCCTGCCTGCTGTGGCCGCATCCAGCCCTCACCACCCCCAAGGACGTTTACACTTTCATCCAGGGGTCTGGGACAACCCTTTAATGCCTGACAGGGGTTTAACGCTGGACCCCTCCAGTGACGCCCAGAGCTAGAGCTGGCTGTGGGAGGCAGCATCTCTGCTCAGCCCAGCTTGCTTTCTTTTAATGGCTGGTGATGATTTTGCAAGGCTGCACTGCTGCTGTCTGGGGCTGTTGTTTTCTTGGCTGGAGTGAATCCCTGTGTGGTGATGGCGAGGGAGCGTGGGCGGAGGCCAAGCCAAGGAAAGGGGTGGGGAGGTGATGGGGGCTGCCTGCATCCTGGGCCCCCATCCCTCCCACTGCTCGCCCAGGGCAAGGCAGCATTTCCCAGGCTCCTGGGAGAGGAACGGGACCCCACCCCTCCCTCAGCGGTGAGCAGTCTCCCTGCAAGAGCTCTTCAGCATCCAAAAAAAGACCTACAGCCAAAATCTGGTAACACCAGATGGGCTGCAGGGTCTGAATTTCCCAACAGCGGGTCCTGATGGAAAAGCAGGGAAGTGTGTCCCAGCTTGTGAGGCAGCCACCAAAAGCTGCTGCCTCTCCCTTCCTTGCCCAGAGGAGCTTGGCTGTGATTTGGATATAACCTTTTTTTTATTTTTTATTATTTATTATGGTGTTCTGAGCAGGTTTCCTAGCAGAAAGGATCCCTGTGTGCTGCGCTGGGACAGCCTGGGCCCCAAACGAGCTCTTGCAATGAGCCCGGCAGGGTTTGCACCAGGTCAGGGCTGCACCTGTGCCTGGCTTTATTCACCATACCCAAGATGAGATGGATGATTTGGGAAGCTGGCTGTAAAAGGGGGGGGGGGGGGGGAAAAAGAAAAAAAAAAGGTTTAATGCAAAAAGGGGAGAGAAAAAGGAAAAAAAAAAGGTTTAATGCAATAAAGAACCAACCCCAAATGAGCTTCCCTTTGGTGTGGAGGAGGAGGAGGGCCTGAGCAGCCTCAGCTCAGGAGAGCTCCCTCTGCATATGAATACTAATAATCCTGGGCTGACACCGCCAGAGTCATCTGACAAGCTCATTCATGCTTCTCCTTCGGGTCCTGCTCCCCTTGTGTGTTAGGCAATTTTTAAATTTGCCCAAATATTGAGGAAGAGTGAGGGGTGTTCCCCATTTCCCCCCCTGCCACTGTCCCCATCCCCCTGCCAACGCAGCCATGGATGACTGTGTGTGGCTGTGGGGGAGATGGCCAGCAGCAGCCCAAGGGCTGCAGATGCCCAGCTGAGCACCCATCCCATCCCATCCCATCCCATCCCGTCCCATCCCGTCCCATCCTCCATCTTCTATCCCATCCTGTCCTCTCCTGTCCCCTCCCTTCCTATCCCCTCATCCCATCCATCTCCTCCTGTCCCCCCATCCCATCCCATCCCATCCCATCCCATCCCATCCCCTCTCCTCCCCTCCTGCCCCCCGTCCCATCCCAGCCCATCCCGTCCCCCCCACCCCACTCTGTTCGGTCCCTCCTGTCCCCTCCATCCCGTCCCTCGTCCTCACCTGGCTTAGGTGTCAATGGGCCAGGTGCAGGTGGGCGGGCAGGCAGCACTGGCTGTGCACCCCCTTGCGCCGTGGGGGGCCTGAGCCCCCCCATCCTGCTGCTCCCCTGTCCCAGCTACACAACGCCTTGTCCCAGCTGCAGACCTGGTGGCCCAGGGTGGGTGGCAGTTCCCAGCAGGGCCTCCATGTGTAGTGGGAGGCTGTTAGCTCTGCTGCTGGGGCTTGGGGGGGAGGGCGGTGGGAGCACGGATGGGCACTGGAGTCTCTAGTGTCTAATATAAGGGTTGAGCACAGAGTGCTGCCTCTCCCACGGCACAGCCTAGCAGGAACACGCCCTCCAGCTGTTTGCTTTTGCGAGGCTTGTCAGGATTTAGGCAGATTCTTAGCTCACCCTCTGTTAATTTTGATTGATTGAAAATTAGTAGAAGAGAATCTATAAAGTGGGATGGGAGAATGCTGAAGCAGTGCAGGGAGAGGAGCAGAGGCAAACAACTTGCGGGCAGAGCACCAACCATCATGTGTGCCAGGTTCCCTTCGGAAAGTGGGTTACAAAGCCGATCCCAGCTCAACACTGAGCAATTATTGGGGCAATTAAAGCTCTTGCAAACCTGGCTGCTGCCCCCTGACCCTGTGTCCCTATGTCCAGTATACACATGAGGGTTCACACAAGCATCAACCCCTCTTTCTTTTTAAGGTTTGAGCTAAAAAATGTCTCTCTTGCTGCGTACTCAAAGCTCTGGGGTTTGAGTTGATGTGTGGGAAACCTGGGTTTGGTCAGCAGCCTCTGGTGCCGCCTCAGGGTACGTGTGCCAGGGGCCAAGGCCACCCCACCGTGGCATTTGCCCAGCTGGGGAGGGAGCAGCAGGGCACAGCCAGCTCCAGAAAGAGAAGGCAGTTGCAGAGAGGTGTGACACAGCATCCCCACAGCCAGCCCAAGCGCTCAGGTTTTTTAGGACTTGCAAACAAGGGCTCACGGACCCTACAGCAAACGAGCCACAGAGGAAAGGATAAGACAGGGATGCTTTTCCCTCCAGGATTCCAAGGTGGAAAAGTGCAAAGGGCAAAATCTCAGAGGAGAAACTCCTTTGGCTTCTTCTCCCCTGAGAGCTGAAGTGGAGCCGTTGCAAAGGAGTTACACCTGGTTGTAAGCCAAATGTGTGAACTGAAAGAGCTGCCTGGGATCCAGGCTACGAAACCACAGGTGCCTGCGGGAAAGGGAGATGAGCTCTCACCCTCTTAAGAGCGTTGTGCCCTGCTCAAAGCCCTGTCTGGGGGGGTTGTTCCTGATGATTTAAGGCTTAGCTAATGTTATAATGTTATCTAAAAGCAAGTATCAGTTCAAGGCATAACCCCAGGCTGATGTGTAGCTAGGTGACCCATCCGAATACAAGAGAAGCAGGAGATTGGGACCTGTGATGAAGTTGTTTGGTCATGCTGCTGGTGTTTAGACCGAGACCTGCTGTGTGCATCCATCCAGAGACTGTGAGAAGAGGTGGGTCCTGTGGGGAGCAGAAGTTCAGCCCAGATTTTTAAGGGGAATAAAGCATGGGTGTGCTTTTTGGGAGCAGGAGAGGAAAGGTCTTTCAGGGGCTGAACACACCCCAAGGAAACATGTGGTGAGCCACCAGCGTGGGCTCTAAAATACCCATTACCAGGCAGAAGCCCCTTCCATGACCTGTAGATATTGGGGAGTTCATGGGGCTTTTAAAGCTTTGGCGTGGGGGGAAGAAACAGGCTGCGTGGTCCTCTCCATGCCAGGAAAGAAACCCTGGTAAACATGAGTGCTGGGAGACCGAGCAGGGGCTGCAGTGTGAGAGGTGTGCCCTAAAATAAATGGGTGCAAGGCACCAGGGATAAAAGAGCTGTGAACCTGGTGGTGTTAATAATGCTCTTATTATTGTTGTTGTTATTACTACTGTTGCTGACTAGGAAACAGCATGGACTTAATGGCTGAAAGCAGCAGCAAGAGCAGGCGCTAGGAATGGTTTTCAGGGCATTTTTTTTTTTTCCCCCTCAGGAGTACGTTTCAGCAAGGGGCAGCTGGGGCTGGGTAAGGCAAATGACCGCCTTGTGCAGCACGGGGCAGTGGGAGCGCGCAGCCCAGCAGCCGTGGCAGCATCCTCCCTCTCCTGCAACAAAGTCCTGCCGGCGGGAGAAGCTGACCCCAGCCTGATGGGCTATT